GAACACTTATTTAGAAAATACGCATTTGTTGAGCACCTGCTAAACAAACCAGGCACTTGCCCAGGAGGAGCTTTCAGTCTTAGGGGAAGACCAACCAGAAAACAGGCAATTACATGCAATTTTGGAAGTGTTGAGGAAAGGGAATTGTTCTTCCTTTTTTTCATGCTTGAACTTTGACTGATAGAAGAAGAAAGCCAAGAACTGATCTGTCCTCTTGATGAGGAAGAATATTGGGAAGAGAACCCCTGTCACACCCTTTTCCCCTAGCCTACCACTATCCTTACCAACTGTTGGTTTTCGAGGGAGGAATCATATTACTGATATGATTGGTCAGAGCCAAGGATCATCTTTGTGTCCTGCTTTACTAGTGAGCTAGATCTCATGTAGGTCAAAGTCAAGAGACTGATACAGAAATCCTCTTTTCTTTGCCTACTACCATATGGTAAGTCAGTAAGTAGCATCAGGGCCTTTCTTAGAGACCCAGCTTGGTTCTCTCCCTCTTCATAGCCAATTTGGAGTTACTGAGAACTCTGTGATAAAGTTCTATATCTGTTTCCACTTCTCTGTTGTTTCTTGTATATACATTTCCTTGATCAGGTACCCTAGTGGAATGAGGGATATGGGGTGGCCTTATATGGAGAAGGAGAATCCAGAATGGGAGAGGGTTGGAGAAAACTTTGCAGCGACAATGAATTATAGTCTTAGTGGTTAAGAGCATGGACTTGAAAGCACATCTGGTTTCAGTACCAGCTGTGTGACATTAGGCAACATCTTCAATCCCTGTAAGCTCTCTTCTGTAAAATGGATATAATTATACCTCATAGGGCTCATATGCATGAAGGTTAAATAAGGTGATTCAGAGACAGTCTGATATCCAGCATGTGGTAAGTATTCAGTAAATGTAACCATTACAGTTGATAAAATGATGCTAAATTTTTGCACATTTTTATTATATCTACTAATTTTATGTTTTAAAGTGAAAACTTCTGCTGTCTGGTCAAAAAGACACAAACAGTGTTTCTGTGATGACTGCAAAACTGTTGATATACCTTCTCTTTCAAACCAAGGGAAAAAAGTGGAGAACCTTCCTATGGTGAGTGAGGCTGAAATCCTTTTGTTCTTCAGCCTAGAAAATGCCGTTCTTTGGGCTAGCCAGCCATTGGCTATTTGCAGCACTCTTTGCATTTTAGGGGCATGCTGGTTGAAAATGGTTTTTGTCGTAAGAAAATAATACAGCATAATTGAGCAAAATCAGCCAAGAAAATATGTTGTATAGTTAACTCTCCATTATGTGCACTGAACACAGAATTATGGTTTAGCTTTTATCCTTTACACCTGCATTAGGTTCTTTGGCTACTCGTTATCCCACAGACGGTGCCACTGTCATAGTATCTTTACCCATCTACTCCCAAAAATATCTGGGATTCATACTAGGTAGAAAAGACCCTGGAACCTAGACATAGAAGAGGAAAGCAACCTGACCCCACATGGTTTATGGTGATAATGTTTGCTATATGTGAAATCCCTCATATAAACTATATGTGAAATCCCTCATATAAAGGCATATTTTATAAAAAGAATAACATAGTAGTTGCACATATATTACTTACAAGGGGGATGTTCTTAGTTTGATTAAAACACATGGCTTACTAGACACTACTTATTTTTAAATTTTTTAATTGAAGTATAGTTGATTTACAATGTTGTGTTAGTTTCAGACATACAGTAGAGTGGTTCAGTTATATATACATATATACACATATATACAGTTATATATATATGCACACATATATACATACACACACACACACACACATACACATATATATATTCTTGTTCAGATTCTTTTCCATTATAGGTTATTAGAAGATACTGAGTATCGTACCCTGTGATGTACAGTAGTTTTGTTGTTGTTTTATCTGTTTTATATATAGTAGTGTGTATATGTTAATCTCAAATTCCTGGTTTGTTCCTCCCTCTCCCCCTCCTTTTCTCTTTGGTAACCATAACTTTGCTTTCTATGTCTGTGAGTCCATTTCTGGTTTGTAAATTAATTCATTTGTGTCATGTTTTTAAATTCTACATAAGCAGCATCATATAATATTTGTCTTTCTCTGTCTGACTTACTTCACTTAGTAATAATAATCTCTAGGTCCATTGATGTTGCTGCAAATGGCATTTTCATTCTTTTTTATGACTGAGTAATACTTTGTTGTGTATATGTATGTATGTGTGTGTGTGTATATATATTCAAATTATATTTTTCTCCAGATATATGCCTAGGAGTGGGATTGCTGGATCATATGTTAACTCTGTTTTTAGTTTTCTAAGGAACCTCCATACTATTCTCCATAGTGGCTGCACCAATTTATATCCCCACCAACAATATGAGGATTCCTTTTTCTCCACACCCTCTCCAACATGTGTTATTTGTAGACTTTTTGATGTTGGCCATTCTGACCAGTGTGAGGTGATGCCTTATTGTAGTTTTGATTTTCATTCTCCAGGAATTAACAATATTCAGCATTTTTTCATGTGCCTGTTGGCATCTGTATGTCTTTTTTGGAGAAATGTCTGTTTAGATCTTCTGCCCATTTTTTTGATTGGCTTGTCTGTTTTTTTGATATTGAGCTGTATAAGCTGTTTGTATATTTTGGAAGTTAGTTCCTTATTGGTCACACTGTTTGCAAATATTTTCTACCATTCTGTAGGTTGGTTTTTTGTTTTGTTTATGGCTTCCTTTACTGTGCAAAAACCTTTTCTGTTTAATTAGGTCCCATTTGTTTATTTTTGTTTTTATTTCCATTACTCTAAGAGAGGGATCCAAAAAAATATTGCTGTGATTTATGTCAAAGAATGTTCTGCTTGTGTTTTCCTCTAGGAGTTTTATAGTATCCAGTCTTACATTTAGGTCTTTAATCTATTTTGTGTTTATCTTTGTATATGGTGTTAGAGAATGTTCCGATTTACTTCTTTTACATGTAGCTGTGCAGTTTTCCCAGCACCACTTATTGGAGAGACTGTCTTCTCCATTGTATGTTCTTGGGTTTATTTCTGGGCTTTCTATTCTGTTCCACTGGTCTCTATGTTTTTGTACCAGTACAGTACTATTTTGATTACTGTAGCTTTGTAGTATAGTCTGAAGTCAGGGAGCATTATTCCCCCAGCTCCATTCTTCTTTCTCAAGATTGTTTTGGCTATTCAGGGTCTTTTGTATTTCCATACAAATTTTAAAATTATTTGTTCTGGTTCGGTGAAAAATTCCATTGGTGTTTTGATAGGGGTTGTATTGAATCTGTGGATTGCCTTGGGTAGTATGGTCATTTTAACAATATTGATTCTTGTAATCCAAGAACACATGGACACTAACTTCTTAAACAAAGTAGCATCCTCAATAAAATATTTTGATTAAGGCTACATATGTTGATTAGACCTCCCTTACATATTTTTTGTTAGTGCAGAGGGGGAAATACCATTCATTAAACCTAAACTATGATTAATCAACTAATTTATTCCTTAAATATTTTAAATGGTATTAAACTAAATTGCATTTGCCTCAGCATTTCAAAAATATTTTACATTGTTCTTAGTATCTGTTGTAATGAATGAAAAGTCATTGTTAACCTAGTTTCCTTTGCTTGTAGTTAATATATCTTTTAAGCTTGCAGTTTAAAAATCTTTCTGTTATATTCTGCAATGTGTTCACTGGATTATGTCTAAATGTGGATATGTTTTTATTAATTATACTTAGGTCTAGACATGCCCCTTTAATCTGAAGATACGTTTCTCATTTGTATTCTAGAAACTCTCAGAATTTCTTACTTCTTTGAATATTACCTCTCTTCCATTCTCAGGAGTTTCCTTTTTTGAAACTCACATTTAGATGGCTGTTAGACCAGTCTTTATGTATCTTTTTCATATTTCCATCTCTTTAACTCTCTGCACTATATTCTGGGTAATACCCTTTGATCCCTCTTGAATTCATTTTTTCTTTCCTCAGATATTTCTAATTTAACCCATCCACTGAGTATGTAATTTCAGTAACTGTGTTTTTTATTTCTACCAAATCTATATTTCCTTTAAAGTTTTGTTTTAAAACAAAACAAGACTTCTCTGCCCTTGCCCTACAGTATTGATAGCATTTAAGAAATCTTTTCAAACGCTTTAGAAGGAATTTGAAGTCTCCTCCCTGCTCATTCTCGTGATAACATGATCCTTCAGGTGGTTTGTGATTTTTATGGTAATCTCATTGCGGAGAGGGCGGTTTACTGTGGGAATTTGGGTGTGCTTAGACTTTGCATGTAACATTTGCTTCTGCTAAGGCCCTGCAAGTTGATCAGTTTCACACCAGTTTTTATGCTGATTTCTCAGTTAGGGTTCCTGAACCTCACCGGTTGTATAAATTTAGTTCTCATATACTTAGGCTTGGTTCCTAATTTTCTACCCAAAGCATTGGGTGTGTTACAAGTAGAGTTTTTCTAATCCTTGTTTAAGCTAAAGGAAACCCACTTGAGGTCATGAGGTTTATGTGGGGACTCCATTCTAATTCCTTCTTCATGAGGGCCTGAGGCCTTATCTCCTTTTCCTATGTAGGCGTAAAAAACCCAGCCCCTAATACCTATGTTTGTTCCAAATCCCTGTAGGCCACTGCTAGCTTCACTTTATTTCTTTTTCTTTTTCCAGTCTTAGCTGTGTGTGTGTGTGTAAAATTTATTGTATGTTGTCTAATGTATTTTTCTCTGTGTTTGAAGTAGACAGGGATCCTTCTATATCATCAGTTTACCGTGTTGGCCATAAGTATCTTTAAGTTATATTTTTATGTAAAGATTGAAACATTATGGAAAAACCGCCCTATTATTATTAAGTGTATGAGTATTTGCTTCAGGAATAATGTGTGTCATTTCAGATACCAAGCCTCAGAGAAATGTAATGGAGATAAAGGAGTTTAATGAAAACCAGCTTTTTAAAAAAAGAAAAAAAAAGAAATATGAGGACTTTAAAGTCATTGATAGTTTGTCTTTTCTAAATGGATAATTGTTTTTGAATGTTGAAAATTTAAAATCAAATTAGGGGTGAGGGGCGACTCTAAGGCCAGATGCAACGGAAATGAGATGATTTTACTTTGGTGCTACCTTGTGACACCTTCAAATCACTGCATGTAGGCAGTCCCCTTCACTACCCCTGTGTAGAATGAGTATAGGAGTAATAATAATAACAATAGTTGGTACTCACTACTGAGTATTTATTAGATGGTAAAGTGCTTTATATTCACTCATTTAGTCCTCCTAATAATTCTTCCAGGTAGTTTGTGTTAGTATCATTACCTTCCTCATTACAAATAAGGAAGCTAAGGTAAGAAAGGGTAAGTAACTTGACGCAAAATTGCATTTCTATGAAGTAGCAATGGCAGAGTTAAGCTGCAGGCAGTCTGGCTCCAGAGCCTATGCTCTTAGCCACTGTGCTTTATTATACAGAATTATAAAGGAGATGTCAGAGGCAAGGATGATCCTGCCGTAGTAAAAGTTGCAAATCTGGAATAAAATCATAGTGAAGCTTTACAGTAAGCAGAATATAAACTGTCTGTAAGTTGCTTGTTCCAAAGACAGATCCTAGGTTAGGTATTTTTTTTTTTTTTTTTAAAATAGATAAGTGGTAATGAAAGGCTTTTAAGAAGGGGGATCTTGGAGGGAAGGTTTTACTGGACCTTCTGTGGTAGTAAATTGTGGAGCTGGTGTGGAGTGAAAAGTTTTGGCCCATGATGGACAAAACTGAGTGCATCTACAGTATGAGGCAAAACAGAAAGAAAAGTCAGCACTGAAAAATGTTTTCTTTATCTCAGTCTGTAGGTAGAAATTTAGCCGAGGCACCGATTCAGACCTTTAGTTTACTTTTATAACCATAGCATTTGCTTGTGTTGCATGTTTATATTTTATAGTTTCATGTTGATGCATTTCATAAATAACAACAGTGGGATTGCTTATCCATATAACTGAATGGTTTTATTATGTGCATTTCCCTTGTGAGCACCAAGGTAAAACTTTATAGTGACATACTTCACAAGTCTTTGAGGACCTACGTGTCTTAAAAATGAATATATATATTGAGGATATATGAAAGGGTGTATAATGAATCGGTCCATCAGTTGTCATTTATTGAGCAAGAACTGTATATCCAGCAGTTTGAAAACCATATACAGATATGAAAGCCATGCTCCTGTCTGCAAGATCTCATCATTGTGATGGAGGAAATATAATGTATAAGACATTATACATGTTAATGCTAGTTTATGTAGCACTAAAATTCTCAAGTAATTCTGAGAAAGGAGAAATCAGTATGGATTAGCTTATTCAGAGGTTTTGTGTGTAAGATTGGTTTTATATAATAATAATAGTATTTACTGAGCTCTTACTTTATGCTGGCACTGACTTGAGCATTATACATAAGTTAACTCAGTTCAGGCAAGGAAAAGATAGCTAACTTGCTGTAGTCACCCAGCTGGGAAGAGATGGAACCTGAATGCAATCCCAGGCAGTCTGGTTCCAGAGTCCACTCCACAATTCCATCTCACGGAAAGAGAGGGATCTGGGCAGAGTACGTTGAAGGCATTTCCAGCAGGACTATTAGTACTGACAAGTGCATAAAGAGGTGGTTTTAAATCCCTTTTGTGAGTTTTTGAGAGAGTGGTGTTTTGTGTTTCTAAGATTATGTGTGAGATTTTAATAGTGTACAATGATAGTCATAAAGCCTAAAAGTGAACTTGTTACATATATGTGATTTTTAGTTGTTTTTTTGTCCTACACCTATAATTATAACAGAAGTCACTGAGAAATTATGATTCTTTGTATGGTTGGTTCTCTTACAGTCTATTTTCCAGGAGCAGATCTGTTATGTAAATCATGATGTATTTATATAGTTAGGTTTAAACGAAGTATGATTACATTTTGAACACGAAGGGAAATGAGCATTTTTAGTTGCACTTCCTGTAGCATTTTTACCATGCATTTGTCAATTACATATTAGGGAAAAACATCTTCTTTCTTGTGATGAAGTTTTTAATATTTTTATCTTTAGCATCAGAACATTAGTGCCATTCTACAAGATATAGAAGAAAAACAAGAAAATTTATTAGAGTTTGAAATAAGAACTCCTGAAGATGCAGGTAAATATGTATTCTTATTCAAGTTTGATTATTTCAATCATCCAAGATATTGATACTTCATCTTCTTAAGGTACATGTTTATTTCAGAGTTCACAGTGGCTGAAAAGTGATCTTCTTAAGTGTAAAAAGTTAAGTGCCAGGAATAATGATTAGAAATCAATGATGCAGACCAGTAGTTTCTGTCATTGTTGATGAAAATACTTCTAGGCTCAAGGTATAGTGTGAATAATTTGAGAGACACTCAGAACCATAATCAGAGATAAGCCACTACTAGTGATATGTTTAGATCGAGATGTGACGAAAAACATAACATAGTGACTAGAGATGAGACTACATTACTCCTTGATTCCTCAGCTTCACCCAGCTAGGGTAACCCTTAAAAAGAGATCAGAAAAGGAATATGCAGTGGTGATACAAGTAGAGTAAATTCTCAGACTTTTCAGGTGAGCAGATGTACCACGTGAATGTCTTACTGCATAGCTGTCTTCCTGTTTACAAAACACTAGTGATTCCAAATAGTATGTTAGACTCCTATCCCTGACCTAATAATCTTAATTTTTCAAAATTCATTGAATATTTGCAAGCTCGCAGCTATGTTTTCTTCAGGTATAATTCCCAAGGTAGAAAGTAGCTCCTCAGAGATGCAGATCTGAATGTTAAAAGTAGTTAGCTAAAAATAATTTAAAGTACCTCATCTTTTGTGTAGCGGGATACAGCTCTTAATTCTTAGCTTAACTCATGTTATATACCCTTTTAAAAAAATTATTTCTTTTTAAATTTTATGCATTCTACTCTTCATGCTGGCCTAACACATGGTACATGTTATATTTTGAGGAAAATATAGTTTGAGGAAAATAATACAAAGCAATTTACGCCCCCAAACAATATGTATAGTCTATATATTTTATTTAGTGTTTATAATACCTTATGCTTCTAAGATGAATTTTACAAATTTATACTTTTTTCATTATAACAGGCATATAGATACACTTCAAAAATAATAATGAGGAAAAAATATGCTAAAATCCACCACAATATTTTGGGTTTTTTATTTCCTTTTTCTTCTAAGAACATAGTCATGTAATTATACCTCAAAATTGTTAAAAAGCTTAGTTTGGATCATGCTAGATAGGCTATTTTTACACTCTTTTTCTCATAATCATCGTTCTTAGTGGTTACATAGTATCTGTTCAGTAAGTGTTCCACGGTTTACTTAATTTTTCCCTTTTTGTTGAGCATTTATATTTTTCCAATTTTTTGCTATTTTGCTATAACACATAGCTTTTTCTCGATTTAGGATTATCTTCTTAGAAAAAATTAACATCATTGGAATTACTGAGTCAAAAAGTTATAAATATTTAAAAATCTGTTGATTCATATTGATAAATGGTTTCCTAAAGTGTAGCATAATAATTTTGTATTTCCGCGAACACACATTAGTGTTTGTTTTCCTTTGCATTTCTAATAGCATCAGTATTTTCATTTAAAATAATTTTACTAGTTTAATAAGAAAATATGTCCCATATTTTCACTTGCCTTATTGATTATTAGTGGTATTTTTTTCACTAGTTTTATTTTCTGTGTCATAAATTGACTGTTCCTGTTTGTTAATAAATTGGAGCTATTTTATGCAGTCAAGTTTTTGACACCTTTTCTGCTGTAACTGCTACAGATTCTTTTTTTTTCACTTAACTGTCTTTTTATTTGTAACATGTTAGTGTGTGCTTAAATACAGAAGTTCTCAAATTCTATAGAGTAAAGTGTACCACCCTCTTTGCTATTTAGTTTAACGTTTCTAAGCCCAACCCCAGGCTTTGTAACTTACTCTAACCGCAGTTCTGTTACAACCATGATTATCTAATTATTCTAATCATGATCTCTTTTTTGGGTCTCACTGCCCCGTTAGAGGAGGAGAGGTAAGACAGTGGGGCTCTAGAGTTCTTGGCGGGTGATCAAGTCCTGACTGGTTGGCTCCATCACTCTTGTACAGTTGTTTGAGTTGTTTCAAAGCAAAATTTCTGAGGCTCTTCTGAAACTTCTACATGGTTCCTGTGATGTGATAGTGCACATTTTTCTTTCCGTGGCCCCTCTGAGTCTTCTCTCAGCTTCTTTTTTTTTTCTTCTGGTGGTCCAACTTACACAGATCTCTCACCCTCAGATACAAGCCCTCATGAGGCAGGACCACAGGGCAGGCTCCACACCATCTTCAAGATCCTGGCACTTTGGACCCACTATTGGAAGAAAAGGGGACAGTTAATTCCTATAACAACAGCAGCTTTGTCTTTGCCCTGCTGTGGAAGCTCTCTGCTCTTCAGGCTCTCAGCCTCTAAATGTTCAAGGAGGAAGTCAGAAATGAGTCCATTATCACCTCAACAGAGAGTTATTACACTCTCAATAGCCCTTTGAGAAACAACCCTTTATGCTTGAGGTAAAGGGGTGAAACCCCCTCACCTCTCACTTTTACTGCTCAGGATGAAGATTCCCACCCAGTGAAGCTACAGCTATCTAAAGAAATAGCTTTACAAATTCCCCACCTCCATATTCTGACACCTTTCGTATCTTTATCTGGTTGAGGGATCTCACAGATAAGGGAGCTGACAAGAGAGGTCACATGACTTATCCAGGTTCACAAAGCTTAGTCAGTGGTGTGGCAGGATTAGAACTCAGGCTGGTCTGCTCCTTCTTGGTACAGTGTTCTTGCCTATACGCTTCAGGGTACTTCCATAGAGTGACTTAATTCCATCAGCCTTGATTTATGTATTTGGGCTCTTGATATTGGGGAAGAGGATAGGGAAATAATTGCTTTTAAAATTAACAGTAAGGCTAAGTCCTGCGTGACCAAATTTAGCATTTGTTGTCTCTCAATTAACTGACTTATTTTATTACCATGTTTCTAGAACAATACATTGGTAAGATGTTAGAGGTCAAGGAAGTTATGGACAATGTGCTTGCCAAGCAGAAGGCTGAAAGGGATGATCTAGCTAAAAAATACAGGTGAGTGAAAAAAAAATAGGAATGCTTTAGAGTTTTCAGAATTTATCTATTTTTATCTACTATAATAGGCCTAGAATTTCTTAAGAATACAAATGTTGCTTCGGACCGAAAAAGGACTTTATGAGGTCATCTACTCTATTACCTCCATGGGGAATTGTACTTCCCAGAGAAATATTTTTCTACTTTATTACTTGAAATGTTCAGAAAAGTACTTTTTAGTATCTTAAAAAGTTGTAAACAGCCATGAACTTTATGAAAGCCTATCTGGTCATGAATCCCATGAGAAAATTTCTTTCCTTAGTAAACTCATATTTTTTACATTCAAAGTTTTTCCTTTTGCTGTCACAGATGTTGTTCTTTTAAGCAGTTTAATCATGTGTATTTTGTGGTTGTGTGTACTTCTGAACTCTTAGGGTCCTTAAAGAGTTTTATCCTGATTATATTGGTTATATACCTCTTATCATCCTTGTTTTGAGAAAGATGTTAGATATGTTTTTCTTGTTTGGGCATTGTTTTTTAATTAGTTTTTCATAGACTTAGCTACATATGCTCCTTATTTTTTTCTTTTTTCCTGTGATGAGAACTTTTAAGGTCTACTCTCTTAGCAACTTCCAAATATACAGTATAGAATTATCAACTGTGGTCACCATGCTATATAATACATCCCTAAGACTTATTGTTTTATAACTAGATGTTTGTACCTTTTGATTACCTTCACCCATTTCACCCACCTCCCAACCCCACCTTGCCAACCACCGATTTGTTCTCTCTGTCTATGACTTTTTGTTTTTGTTTTAGATTCCAAACATAAGTGAAATCATACAATATATTTCTTTCTTTGTCTGACATATTTCACTTAGCCTAATGCCCTCACGATCTATCTGTGTTATCACAAATGGCAGGATTTCCTTCTTTTTTACAACTGATTAGTATTCCATGTTTTATGTGTATGTTCTTATTAATATTGCTATTAGACTTTACATCTTATAAAGAGAATTTTTATTTTCTGTCTGAACTCTTTATTTTGCATAGTTTTAAGTGTGATACTGATTTTTTTCTTTTTTCTCCTGTATCCAGCATCTTGCATTTTATACTACCAGTTGTTTGCTAATCTGATTTCTTCTTTAGCTTCTTCTAGTTATAGCTACTCCTCGCTTTAACATCCAGTCTGCTTGGAGTTCAGTACCAGCAGCTCTAAACTATGTTAGGAGAGAGGCAGATATCTGTACTATTGCTTTCCCTCAAAACAGCTGCTCTCAGAGAATGGTTCCTGAGACCATTTCAATAGGTCCATGAAATCAAAACTGTTTTTATAATAATGTTAAGATGTTATTTGCCTTTTTCGCTCTCATTTTCTCATGACGGTACAATGGAATTTTCTAGTGGCCACATGGTGTGTGATGATAATCATCACTCTCATAGCTAATGAAATATGCACACTTGTGTATTCTTGTGTTTTAAATGTTTCTCCATTTTATTTTCTAAAACAGTAAGTATTGATAGATATAACCCATATAAAAAAAGGATCTTTGGTTTCTCAGTAACTTTTAAGAGTATAAAAGAGTTCTGAGACCAAAAAGTTTGAGAGCCACTGGAAGCAGTGTCCAAATCCTGAAGGTCAGTGTGGAATAGGTGGCTATAACCAAAAGACAGATAGGGACGAGCCATTTCCTCCCATTCAGGGACTTGATTTGGGGAAGGCACACAGGCTAATGCTTGTCTGGGGAGTCCCTCTGATGTCAGAGTACCTCAGTACGGATTCAGAGTACAATTTCAATGATTATTTGATGAATTGAAATTTCTCAGGTCTAGCTAATGTATAATTATTCACAAAACAATCTCACTCCTCCATTGCTAAGGGAATTTGAATGGAATTTACTGCCAAATTTTACTTCCTGATACACAATTTCACTATAAACAGGTAAGCAAATTCCCAATTTAAAGAGTTTTGTTCCTCCTTAACCATCAATTGGTACTTTCTAACTGAAGGACTGGTAGGTATCTAGATAAACAACCCAAGTTTAATTTCCCTTTTAGGGTTGACTCACAGCTGATACATAATGTTATAAATATAAGTGTGGATAACCACACTGTCATCTCCTAAAAAAAGGCAAACTCACTTACCTCAAGTAAAGAGTCAGTTTCCTCTCAAAGAATATACATCACAAAGATAGACTGTTGTGTACTTCGAGCTGACTAAATTTAAATTGAGATGGCATATCTATGCATAGCTACAAAATCTAAATGGTTGCTGAAAAAAAGTTTTCTACTGTTTTTGTGTTTTTTCCTCTTTCTGTTTCTTCCTGTAGGGTGTCCATGGAGTCATTTAAGCAAGGAGTCCTGAGAGAACAACTGGTCAACTTGGCCACAAGACAGAAGAGCCTTTTAACTGTAACAAAAAACCAGAAAAAAATAAGGGAGAAAATTCACAACTATAAGAATGTTACACCTTTGTCTGGTCTTAGTTTCAAGAAGCTGCCATCCAGCTCAGAAATGTCTAATGGAAAAAGCAGGCAAGAGTTTACCAGTCTGGAAACTTCAGTGCAGCCCCAGTCAGGTTCACTTTCTCCTGTCAGCCTTGTTTATGGAAGCATGCAGGAGACACAGTTGTCTTCGGAAATCTGGCATGACAGCCAGAACACCAACACTTGTCTAAATTCAAAGAGAATGAGAAGGGAAGGATTTTCTGGAAATGAGCTAAATTCTAAGCGAAACATCAGTGACTATACCTTGGACAGATTATCAAAATCCAGACATTCAGATGGCACTAAGAAGATTAAATTACCATCCCAATCTGTTACTTTTATTACTCAAGCAGAATATTCACAAAAAGAAAATGATCTTACAGATATGGCAGCCAAAGAGCATGCATCCTTTAGACCTTCAGCAGTAACTGGCGCATTAAATATTTCAGAAACCACAAGTGTACTTTCCCACAATGAGCCCTATCCATCAGCTGTTCTTTGTAATCAGGCTTTTTCCAGTTGTGATCCAAAAAGAGACAACAGGAAAACAGCTTCCCAGCAACCACCTAGGGGGGCATCAGAATCCCTGGCACATCGAGAGATTCATGTCTTTGGCAGTAATACTGGGCATCAGATGAAACCGTATCTTAAAAAATCAGCTGTTGCTGTTCCACATGCAAATGACAGTCAGAGCTCTTCCTCCTCTGAGTCTAGCCGTCAACATACTATTAAAAAACCTTTAAACTACAGTACAGCCCCTAAAAAGAAATGCATGCAGATAAAGGATCTGATATTGCTAGGAAGAATTAATCCAGGAAATAACATTCTGGAATTTAAAACACAGGTATTTTTTTTCTCTAAAATTATATAAATTTATAAATAAGTGAGTAAATGTTGCTGTCACAGTGTCAGCATTTAGCTCTGCTTAGGGAAATAGGGTTTGACTAGGCTTCTTGGACAGAAAGACACAGCCATTGTATTCTTAGTAAGTGAAATCATGCTTCTAAAATTGCCCTGTGCACTTCAGTCACAAGCATCTTTGGGCTTTCAGAACAGAATTAGTCAATTATACTGCAGCAGGAAGGGTTTAAGAACAAAATAAAAACAATAAATTGGAGCTGTCTTTGGCTCCAAAGTTTTGGGAACTACCAGTGTACTGCTAAAGCTTCCCCTAATAAGGGTTTAAGTATAAACTCATCTTCCACAGAAGCTCAATTTAGAAACAAAAAGTGACTTGAAATTTGGGTGAATCTGACTCAGTGAAAACAATATCACATATGCATAAAAGGAGATGAGGAATAAAAAGTTCTACTAGAAATGCCTGCAAAAGAGGCTTCCTTTCCCTTTCCCCCACATTCACTTTTTGAAAGAGGAGGTAACAGTGAGAAAGATTGCAGAGTCCTGGAATGCTGCTTTGCTGATGGACCAATCCAACAGAAACCAGTCCAGGCTAGTTGGAATTTAATCTGAATGACCCATTTCCACAACCTTTCCCACCCCTCGACAGTAGGCTTTTTCTAGTTAATAAACTTTATTTATAAGTTAGGAGAAAAAAACATTCACTTTTAAAGCTCCAAACTATAAAGCCTGGATTAGTAGCTTAATCTCAGATCCTTTATGTTCCTGTTAGTTTGCCTGTCAGTCAATTTATTCCTAAATATGCCTGCCTCACATTAGCCAAAGCAACTCAAATTTCCTTTAGTATTTAGTTACATTAACTCAAATTTTGACAGTTGTGGTTACTTCTCTAGATCAGCAATAATAAAGTTTTAATATAATTTTCATATATTAGCTGTTTTAACAGCTTTATTGAGATATAATTAATGCACAATGCACTGCACATATTTAAAGTGTATAATTTGACAAGTTTTGACACCTGTGAAACCATGACCACAGATAAAATAATGAGCATATCTGTTACCCCCAAAAGTTTCTTTGTGCCATTTTGTATATGTCCTTCATACCTCTTCTGTCTCATGCTGATCTTTAGACAATTAATGGTCTGCTTTCTTTCCCTGTAGATTAGTTTACATTCCCAAGAATTCTTTATAAGTAAAATTGCATTTATTTTTGTCTGGCTTCTTTCTCAGAGCATAGTTATTTAAGATTCATCCTTGTTGTAGCATGTATCAATAGTTCATTCCTTTTTTATTGCTGAGTAGTAGTCCATAGTATGCATATATTATAGTTTATCACTTTATCCTTGATAGATAATTCAGATTGTTTCCAGTTGTTGACTATTACAAATAAAGCTACTGTGAACATTGTTGTACAAGTTTTGGTCTGACATAGGCTTTCACTTTTCTTGAGTAAAGTACCTAGGTCTCTTGAGTGACTGGATCATATATGGTAAGTATATATTTAACTGTTTAAGAAACTACCAGAATTGTTTGTAACATTTCACATTCCTACCAGCTGTATATAAGAGGTCTAGTTCCTCCACATTCTTTAGTTAGCCAATATTTAGTATGATTAATCTTTTAATTTTAGTCATGTTAACATAAAGTGTAGCTGTATGTATGTATGTAATATGTGCATATGTTCAGTGGTTTATCATTGTGGTTTTAATTTACATTTCATAATGATTAATTATGTTGAACATCTTTCCATGTGTTATTTGCCATCCATATTTATTATTTGGTTAAGTGTCTGTTCAGGTCTTTTGTCCATTTTTTTTATTGGTTGCTTGTTTTCTTATTACTGATTTTTTGAGAGTTTTAAAAAAAATACGTATTTTGGTTATAAGTCCTCTATCAAATAGATACTTTGCCAATACTTTCTCCTGGTCTATGCCTTTTCTTTTCATTCTCTTAACATTGTCTTATAAAGAACAGAAGTCTAAAGTTTTGATATAATCCAGTTTATCAATTTGTTCTATCATTGATTATATTTTTAGTATCCTGTCTAAGGATTCTTTTGTCTAATGCAAGGTCAAGTCTAGAATATTTACATTCAGTATGACCTATAGTTAGCTTGAATCTTCCATGTGATACTTATTTTCTGTTACTCTTACCTCTTCTTTGTTCATTTTTTCACCTTTTTATGCTTTATCCCTTTTGTTCATTTAATAGCTATAACTTTTTATTTTAGTTGTGCCTTTAGAGTTTATAGTATATATTTTTAACTTCTCACAATCTACCTTAAGTGCTATTTTACCACTTCATGTCTACTTTAAGTACCTCAAAATAGTATACTTCTATTTCTCTACTTCTGACTTTTCTGTTTTCTCGTATTTTACTTTTACATAATGTTATGAACTCCATACTACATTATTATATTTTTAAGCAATCAGTTATCTTTTAATGAGATTTAAATAGTAAGGGAAATTATCTCTCCCATGTAACTACTATTTCTGTGCTTTTCTTTCCTTTGTGTAGATCCTGATTTCTATTTGCTCTAACTTCCTTCTGCCTGGAGGACTATCTTTAATATATCTTGTCTTGGAGATCTGCTGCTAATAAATCCTTTTGACTTTTGCATGTCTGAAAAAAGTTTATTTCACCTCATTTTTGAAATATATTTTTGCTAGGTGTAGGATTCTAGGTTGGAATTTTTTTCCTTTCAGCACTTTAAAGATACAGCTCCCTTGTTTTCTTGCTTATGTTGTTTCCCGCAAGAAACATTGTTATTCTTAACTGTTCCTCAGTAATAAGTCTTTTTTCCCTTTCTGTCTGCCTTCAAGTTTCTCTATCTCTGGTTTTAAGTAATTTTGATTATAATGAGCATTGGTTTAATTTTTTGTGTTTCTTATGCCCGGGGTTTGTTGAACTTCTTGAGTCTCTGGTTTTATTATTTCCTCAATTTTGGAAAAAATTCAGCCATTATTCAAATATTTTTTCTTCCCTTTCCCGATTTTGAATTCCAATTTCACACAGATTAGATTGCTTAAAGTCATTCCACAGTTCACTTATAATGATCTGTTAATTTTTAAATTATCTTTTCTCTGTGTTTTTTCATGCAGTTCCTTTTGCTGTGTCTTTGAAATCACTAATCTTTTGGTTTGCAATGTCTAATCTATTGTTAATCCCATTCAGTGCATTTTTCATTTCATACATTGTAATTTCTATCTCTGGAAGTTGGAGTCTTTTTAATATCTTCCATGTCTCCACATATCTCCTGGAACATGTGAAATATGATTATAATAACTGCTTAATGTCCTTATCTGCTAATTCTAACATCTTTGTCCATCTTCAGTCATTTTCAATTGGTTACTTTATCTCCTCCATATGGATTGTATTTATCTACTTCTTTCTAGGCTTGTTAATTTTTTATTAGATCCCATACATTTATCTTGTTGGGTGCTGGATATTTTTGTATTTTTAAAAATATTTTGGAGATTTTTTCTAGAATGTAGTTAAGTTACGTGGAAACAATTTGATCCTTTTGGGTCTTGATTTTACAATTTGCTAGGATTGGAGCAGCGGTCAGTCTAGAACTGACTATTTCCCACTACAGAGGCAAGACTCTTCCATGTACCAACCAATGCCCCATCAGTTTTGAGGTTTTTCTAGTCTTACTGTTGGGAA